TCTATGCCAATTTGACTATTCCTAACATAGGATTATATAATATAAGAATATGTTTTGCAAGGTGAGAACACAACAGAGAAGCAAAACCAAAAGGCAGTGTTTGAGTAAATTTGTAATTTTTCTTTAAATGATGCAATTGTATCACCTTTTCTTAGCTTACAGAACCAAGTGAGATAGAACAAACACTTTGTTCCTTCAAAGCAGAAGTATTTAACAAATTCCAGAAATCAAGAAATGCATGATGCTAAGAGTAGAAATATCTTGGTGGAAAAGAAACTTTGGTGAATTAAGATTATTTCAGGCTTACTTGTATCCTGAGGTCAAAGCAGAATCAACTACTAGCACGAAATATATGGACAGGATTCATCATCATACAAACGCTAAAACTACACATACAAGAATATAAAGAATGACAGTCATTCAAATTGTTTATGTTTATATACTGACAGTTTTAAGAAGACATACCGAGCAGTAAAAGGCAGAAATTTGAGAGTATGTAGAAATCTATTTGGAAGCAGATGTTGAAAGTTAGGTATGTGATTGGTTGAATGGCAAATTCAAAGTATAGCACTTGGACTTTAAATTGAATTGAACCAAATAAAATTTGTCTCGCATTCAATCAACAATAATGAAATCAACATTTTTAAGAGCCATATATGGTGGAATATGAAAGGAAATAGAAGTTGGGCCTTTTCAAAACCAAGTACATAGGCCAATAAAACTAAAAATGGTTCAGTGACAAAGTTTTGTAGGTTCCATAGCCAATGGTAATAATATCAAACCAGAACAGACAAGCATAATAAAATTATCCCTCAAGTACATAAAAAAGCTTAATAAACTCTCAGAGATAAATTATTTGTGATATCACAAAATAAGCAAACACAGACCACAAAACAGTCTGGTCAATATTCTACACTCCTCCCAACCCTTTAATAAAAAGAAACCACAACAGTCTTTTCAGATGCAAAAATGGTCTTTTACGCAAACATTTTTTCATTACCTTTTTACAAAAGAGAAAATATCAACATAAGAAATAAAATACAAAAGCAATTCAAAGTAGGTATCTACTGTGCAATCACATTTGCTAAATAACTCTCTGGAAAAATGCAAATGTAGCATTGAGAAACAAAATCCTCAAACCCATGTAAAGCATTTAGTTTTTAATGAAGCTATGCTTTTGTTGCTAATTGAAAATTAATGTGCACAGCTTTGAAAGTAAATAGACTTAGACACATTACTACATAACATCACCAAAATTTGAAAGTTTTCTACTTAAGCTTTAGTGACTAAACCAAGAAATCACATGAAAGAAATAGGTACAAGCCAAGACAACTGTGCATTTAAATTACCTGTTTAATGAACATATACAATTCAGTGAACAATGATCACAAAGAAATGGAAAGAAAAACACTATTAAGATATGAGGAATTCGAGAGCTTGGTCTCTATCACAATTAAATTTGACAAGTGCTTCTGAAACACGATCCACCGGAAAACCAAGGTCCAGAAGCTGTGATTCAACTTGAAGAAAATTGATGGCAGCTTTCACATCATTATTGAGTAGTGATAATGCATGTTCTGCACGTCCTTCCTGATAACCAGCATCCAGCAGGGATTGTAGTGATAGGAGAAATTCCACAATCTGTGAATAGAATTGAGGGGAAAAATTGAACAGTTTGTTATCTTTCAACAATAATAGGGTGATCAGTGAAATGCAAAACTTCAATAGAACAAATACTATACGAACCTTCTTGTCATTAGTGCCTAATTTTTTACATGCTCTTGCCACTCGTCCTCTTGGAAAACCCATTTCTGCAATCTTCTGTACAAGAAACTGGCTTTCGGAGTGAAGTGACTGATAGGGATCTGGTTCAATCGGTGATGTTGGTGATTGGACTGATGATGAACTATTTTCAGGTGTTGAGTCCTGTGATAAAAAACAGTCGAACAACTTGTAAAAGACTACACAGTGATTTACATTTACAATAACCTATTAGCTAAATGCTTACATCAGAAGGTTTTGGTTGATTTTTCAATGCACGAATTTTCATGATTTCACTCAACTGCTGTGCGGCACAACTGATAGGTGCATCAGATTCAGGTGACGCCTCATCGACTGAAGCTGATGACAACATTGTAAGCTTTGGGGGATTTGAGGACATAGCTTTACTCTCATTTAGCATTATGCTTTTAAATGACTCCTGTGGTCTAGACTGTTGGTAAGATACAGATGGCCAGACATTTGAACCATAGAAACTTTGGATATGCTGCTGTTGTGGTAATTGTTGAGGCTCTTGATGCGAATAAGAAAATGACATTTCACTATGGTGGGGCATAAGATCTCTATCAATGAAATTGTATGCAGCAACGTGACCATGAGGATTATGATGTGGTATCACAGATTGAGGATGATAATTTTGCACACTATTATAGTCATAATTTGAGGTAAACCCATTGACATGGGATTGATAGCTTACACCACACTTCGCATCATTGAGCATTTTATCACTACTGGAAAGATTAAAAGGCTGTTCAATTGAGGGAACTTGGCAATTCATAGTTTGATGATGCAAGTTTCCAAAATGCTCATCAGTTCCAACCAAGTTTTGGTAGTAATTGGGTACTTGAGTAACTGTTGAAGGCTGTAGAACTTGTGCTAGTTCTTCCAGATCATTAATAGTCTTTAGTTCCATATTGTCAAAAGGACTTGAAGTGTCAGCTTCAAAATCTGACAAATTGAAGGCACTTATTGGGTTATTGTTATTTATCTGAGAGGTGACAACTTGATGCTTAAAGGGAATAGGTCTCAGGATAGGGTTCCCTTCACTGATGACTGGTATACAAACAGGCTGCTGAGGCGGTAAAGCTGACTGGGTTTTAGGAGATTGTTGAACTGGGACTGAAACTGGTGTAGGTGCAGCTGATTCAGATAGCTGCTTCTTTGATTGAGACTCCTCCTCAGTTGACAGTTCATTCATGGTTTCTTCTAGTTCTTGCATTGTCTCTAAGAGTTTTTGACGTTTGGCATCTTCCTCTGCTAAACGCCCTTTCCTCTCTTCTCTCTCCTTATATCTTGAACTACGCCACTGCTGCAGCTTATCTATCACATCATGTTCCAGTTGGAAATCATACTGAAAAATAATTTAAAGGAATTTGAAATTTCAATTTAATTTTAAAAACTGTTGAAATTATAATAAATGACATATTTGACATTAATAAAAACTGTAGTCATAGTCAACCAAACTTATACATACATCAGGAACAACAGGGGGTTGAAGAAGACGGTTTTGGAACCCTACTGGTAAAATTATTTTCCTGGGGGGTTTATATTTTTCACTGATCTTGACTGGGATTCCATCCATATAGGAGAAAACTAAAACAAATTAATTTTATGAATTGTTCACAATACGAGTAATCTGTTTACACTTTCTGACATTGAAGTGTCAAAGCACTAAATTTGCTTTGACAGCTCGGGCATTAAAACAAAGACATGTGAGGAGAATAACATTTTATTGATAGCTCACCATGCTTTTCACCATCTTTTCCAGACATAGTGGTCGAGTTTTAATCTTGCATTTCAATCAAATCCTGAAACATGAACCAATCAAATGATGACTCATCTTGCACTGACAAATGCCAAACAACGCATAAGTAATATCATGAAGATTATTCAAAGGGAGAAACAAATGCATAAAAGCTGAACTGAAAGCAGCCACGTATCGTCAGTGGAGTGTTAAATTCTTTAAATATACAACTCTGACGGTACATAGCATAAACAAAGGGGTTATGTCACCATGTCTGACTCTGACAAAAAGTGTGAAACTATGTGATTCAAAAATACTCACAGTTATACTCTAAGGAAGAAAATGATCGAACCATTGTTTGTTAGTTCCCTACCGGGAAAATGATAAAATACAAAGATTATGTCAAAATGGATTTAAAAACATTTTCGTAATGTTGGTTGATGTCTTCAAACCAAACAGAACCTGATTGGATTTACGTACACACGCTACCACTCGGGCTTGTCGAGAGGCTGCATCGCCATCGCATACTTACATGAAAAATTCACACTTCTTGAAAAGAAATTTCAATATCTAGTAAGTTTAAAAATGTATTCAAGAAATATGCTTTTTGAATGTTAAAGATTGTACTGGAGCGCAGTACACCGAAGTTGTTATGTTTATGTTTTTGACAAAGCAGTAGGATGATTGATTGAGGACAAGGTTAGCTTCCTTTTAATTTCTCATTGCTTTGGTAGCCTGTGTACAACTAAAGTTTCAACTCGTATACAGTGTGAACTCGTGATAAGTACTGTCTGCCTCAATATTCGTCTGGTATCATGACAGTGTTTTGGAATTTTCTTTAATGTCAAGCAGCATTTTTTTTGAAGCAGCGATAGTAATGTTGAACTATCTTGTGTGACATTTGTCAAAACAACACTTTCCTCTGATATTACTTTCGGTCAGGTGAGTAGCGCTGTCCTAGGCTTATTAATCAACCCCAAGTCTGCTCTTTTCTGTCTCTTTTCTGTTGAGGCCTTTTCCTTATCTAACTGATAGACAGTATTCTTTAATAAAAATATTTTTTGTACTTAGGGCCTCAAGAATGTGAAATCTATTCGCTAATATGTGTGTGTTTGAGGAAAGACCTTGTATTGTGTTCGTGTATTTTGCTTGTCAACCGTCTAACCTCTGTTAGTTGCAAGGGTTCCTTATGCCAACATTTTATTCTTTCCTTTGATTCGGCAGTTCAGTGTTCTTCTTTGTTCTGTTCTTGATTAGAGTTTATTTTAATCTCTATTCCTTTAATTCTTGTCATTTGAGTGCAACTTTTGGAATATGACTAATAGTTTCAAGTTTGAACTCTTTTAATACTGGCAAATTTTGTATTTTAAAAGACTTCAACGTTGCTTTTTTGTTATTTTTACTGATATTGTTTTATGCTATGTCATGCTGTTTTGCTGCTTTTGATACCATACCTAAATCAAAGATTCTTTGTGTCCGCTAAAGCAGTTTTTGATTTGTCTATTCACAGGAGTTACAGTGTCATTTAGAAGAAAGTGGCCGCTTCACGGCTTCCAACTGCAACCGTGGCATCCCAGGCAGATCACCCTCTCCATTCCAGCGCTCAGCACTTCCCATGGGTTGTTGGAAGCAGTAAGTGTTATTTATTAAATTTATACTCTATTATAATCCTTTCAACCATTCAATTTATATGGAAACAAATAAAACTAATTGATTTTTTTTTTCAGCTAGTTGCACACTGGACCAATTGGACAGACAATCATCCAGTCCAAACCTTATTGAACTGGGGGAACCTCGCGCCTCTGCTGCTCCACAGGTAAATTATTTTAATCTTCATGACTTTGATGAAATATGTTCTGCTTTGTATTAAGCCATTAAGTCACAATTATTTTGATATTTTATTCTTTTAAATTTCTACAGCGCGAGGTTCCCCATAATCTGAGAAATAGAGGTGTTATTTGTGACTCTCCTCAACACAATGGCGGTTCTATATCCCCAGCATCAACAAGTGGAGCCAGCATGCCCTTGCGAGACTCACCTGGGGCATCAAGTACCGCTAGTGACTCACCCACTCCCAAGAATAACATTCAAGATTCTCATTGGCATGGATTGGGTATGTTCGGTTTTTGTACATTTTTGCATGCTGTCAATTTGTATTTTAATAATATTCATTCAATGTTTTGTTCTACAGAGGAACGATGTCAGCTGCTTGGCACTGAAGAAGAATCCTCAGATAGACATAGCAGCGCCAGTGACACTGACCATGATGATACATCATGGTCCCCCTGGATAATTACAACAGAACAGCGTGACTATTACTGTGCCCAATTTCGTGCACTTCAGCCTGATGTGAATGGACTTTTGTCTGGCCCGGAAGCTCGCTGCTTCTTTGAAAAATCACGTTTGTCCTTACCTGAGCTTAGAAAAATTTGGTTAGTTTGAAATGAAATTGAATTTTTATGAGGAGTGCTTTTCACAGAGTCATTAACTTAACCTCAAATGTTCTGTTCTTTGATCAGGCAATTGGCTGATGTTACTAAAGATGGTGCTCTATCACTTGAAGAATTTAAAACTGCCATGCATTTGGTGGTGTTGAGACGGAACAATATTGATCTCCCTGATAAATTGCCTCCTTCCCTCATCCCCTCCATTCCACCATCAGCACCTGCACCCCCACCTCCTCCAAAAGCAATCTCTGGAGAGAAACATAAGCCCACCTCTGAAGAAAGTCTTGCCCTTTCCAATGTGTCCCCTCCTCAAGCAGATTTAACATCGCCTCAAAAAGGAAAAGATGTTTCTAAGGTATGTACCTGTATTTTTTCTTGATCTTAATTATTTAGACTCAAGAAAGTCTGGTTTGGCTGGTTGTGAAGGTGTCTAATGCTGAAGCATACTAATTGAAATCTGCTGAAACAAAAGCTCCTCTGGTAAAACAAATTGGTTACTGTTAGTTTTAGCTGTCTCCAAAATGCATGACACAAGGAGTGTGTGCTTTCTGTCCTGCCTTTATCAAACCACCAGCCATGAGTGTTTATCTTTGTTCTTGTAATAGTCCAATCCCATGTTCTGATCCCTGATTTCCATGAAGGACAAGCAAGTATATTATGTACTGTACCATACAATGGAAATTGCTGATATTAGTGCAAAGCTAAACTTTTTTAAATTTTAAATGAACAGTTACTTTTGTTCTGTTTTTCGTTTGATAGTGAGATATTGATTGTCTCTTTCACTTGGTAGTCAAATCATGATTACAGATCAATGGCCAATCTGTTGTATTTTATCCTGCTAGTTCTTCTCCCTTTCTTTTGAAAAGTTCCTTTTTAAAAAAAGTTCTTTACCTTGTGTGTCATACATGTCATGAGCAAATTTCATCTATGGTTTTGTGTGATAGCTGCAATTCAGCTTTTTGTTCATGTTTTCCTTCAAGCTGTCACTGTTTCCCTTTTTCTATGGTCTTCCTGCTTGTTCTGCTAATCGCTTTGCTAACACCACTCTCTTCCCTGACAGTGGACGAAGTTTATGGATTCTCCAACCAGTTCAGTGTCCTCCCCAGGGCCAAAACCGGTTAACTTTGATTTTCACAAATCAGCTGTTGAACAGGTAAAATTTAACTTCTTTGCAAAGCCATAAATTTCCACAAGAGTCACACTTTTTGTTCTCACTTTTGTAGCATGATATTTTCCTTGTGGTATATCATTTTTATTTATTTCATCTTATTGTGAAGCAGATTGATTATGTACATGTGTTCCCCATTTACTTGTGCCCACATTCATATATTTGTGATGGAATGTTGCTTTCACTGTAGTAACTGTTTACAGGTCCCCCAAAATTGTAATCAAAGCTTTAACCAAATTCTTTTAATTTTTCAGGATCCCAAAATTTTACATCCAGTACCTCTGAGGCTCACTCCAGAGTCTCAAAATTTGACTGCCACTGGGGATGATACTGGGGACCCTTGCCGCTCACCACGTCGTTTGACATCTGATGCAGCACACGACTATGATTCAATTGTTGCTCCTCCAGATATTAGACCCATTCAACGTCCTCAGCCAAAGAAACCAGCTGGTGAGAGTCAGGAAACCAACTCTTTTCAAATGTCCTCTTACAACAGTCACTGTTTTATTTTAATGTTAATGATATAATTTTGTTCCTTCCAGCTCCAGGACCTGGTGCAATCCCTCCCCCTCCCCCGTCTCAGGCAGCTGTCATGTCATCCTCGGAAGGAGCGTCTACCTCTAATACATCTGGGTGAGTACGGATGTCATGCTTTCTTTTGTGCAACAAAAACGTGAAAGAGCTGACTTTTATTTAAAATCTTTTCTAGGTTTTCTATCTCAGGCCCAACTAGTCTGCCCATGGGCTTGAAGAAAGATCCACCCCCTCCGCCTCCTCCAAGACCACATCGCACACATGCTAGAAGTTCCTCTCTTGATCTCAACCGCTTAGGTGATTAATTTTAAAAAGCTAGTAATTAAACACTGTGCTTATTTTTCAAACTTGTTCCTAAAATTTTTAATTTACTCTTTTTAAATAGATGCTTCATCTGGGAAGAACATTGCTCTTCTAGGCGCCCCACCGATGGTTCCTCCACGGATATCTCCTAGCACTGTATGTTTTAAATGGTTTAAATCAAATTTTATTCTTTTTCAATCAATTTAATTACTGGAGAATTCTTCCATGTCTCTTTCTCAGATGACTTCACGCAAACTTATGGGACAACACAGTGAAGGTGCTGATCCATTGCATCAGGGCTTTGCTGATTTTACTCAATTTGAAAATCAGTCTGATTTTGATGCATTTCCGCGTCGTCATGGAGCATTTGAAGTATACCGGAAGCCAACGCCAAGTAAGTTAACTATGTTTAATCGTTGAATGTCTTTTTCTAATTTATATGCTACTATTTTTATTGCTTAACTGGATTGATCTCTTTGCAGAAAATGCAGTTGTGGCTCATGAAAATGTAGATCTTGTGGAGGATGTGCTCAAGATGAAATCTAAAAGGTACAGTACACCCTGAAGTACAATATGTGCCATCACTTTTCAATCAATCTAATCTGTACCCCTAACTGATGTCAATTCAATTTCTTTCTTCAAGGCCTGCGGTTGGGGACAAAATGTCTTTTCAACAGCTTCAAGAAAAAAATGCAGCTCTTGTACGTACTTGCCATCTTTTAAGCCTGGAACTTGCTGAAGTTCAGACAGAAAAAGCTGAATTAGAAATACAGCTTGAACAGCTAAGAGCTTCCCTTCCCCGATAGAGGAGCTTTTTAAATTTTACAGTTTTGCAATGCTATTATTTAATACTAATCGACTGGAGTTCACTGATAATATTTTACCATAATTGTATTCTAATTTGTTGTTGTAATTTTAGACTCCTCAAGTGTGACGTATTTTACTTTTAAAAAGTACCGATTTAGTTTATATCTGGTGTACTTCTAGCAGTGAATCTACTCCTTCGAATTTGTGTTATTGTCCATATCACTTCTTCATTTACATTAGAGAGGAGTAGTATATGTTTTAAAGGTTTTACCTATATATAGAAAAGTTTTTCAGATTTAGACAAGTTTGTTAGATTTTTTTTCCCCTCTTCAGTCACCTTGTGTTGTACTTTAACTTCTCTATAATTTAATGGGAAAAAAGTCTAATTAACCTGCAATCATTCATAGCCATAAACGTCTCACTTCAATTTTGTTGGATAGATTCCCCATTGGATATGTGATCAAGTTTTGTAATTAATTTTGTTAAATGTTATCATTTTATTTAATGAAAGTATAAGTTAAGTATTTTGTAGAACCATGTGAAACAAAAGTAACCATTGTAAAGAACTTTCACATCATATATTTATTCCTGTGCATATGAATTAAAGATACAATTGCATCCATTGTTAACATGTGCTCAGTGAAGTATTTTTGTAAGACATAAAAATGCTCCACAGTTGCCAAACTGATCTAGGACTGACTTACTTGAAAATTGACAGATGACTTCAAGCTACTTCAGGCTTCTTCAGTATTTCCTGTCATTGTTGAGAAATTCTCTCTTCATTCAAATAAATATCTAAGAGAAATAATAGTGTTTTGTGCACTCTATCATAACGATTATTTGATTAGGTATGTTGCCTTTTTAGACCTATTGTATGAAGGTAGGCTTATATTTTATACTTATAAACTCAAGAATGTGAGATATTTTCAAAGCTGCAAGGGATGAAGTGGCATCATGGACTTGAGAAATTGAAGTTTAGTAATATTTACAATTTACTTCAAAATCTCAGAGTGCCTTTTCATGTTAAATAATAGACATCTGAGCTGTGTTTCCTGTTTTGTCAGGGAGGTGAAATTTTCTTCTTCATTCTTGGAACTGTCAAGGACTTTAAACTCTAGCTCTCAAAATTCTGAGTAGTTACATTATCGTCAGATGATGTAAGTTCACTTAGTTCATCAAAGAGGAAGAAAATGTTTATCTTAGAGGTGTGGTGAGGTGTCCCTGCTTGAATTGCTGTGATCTGTTCAACGTAGCATTATAATTTGTTTTTCTTTAATTCTGAAATTTTGTACATATGTAGTTAACAACTAAGCTTCTTTAACATGTCTTTAGATGCAGTTCCAGGGATACTATTAATTTCCACTCCTTACCCAAACTGTGCATGAAAGTTCAGACAAAGTGTGTGTGTGTGTGTAGCAAAGGGAATACATAGTAGATTGTTTTTGGCATATAAAGATAAAAAATCTCTATATCTTCAAAATCTTACAAACCTCAAGTTTTTACCAAAGAGTTTTCAATATTTAAAATAGAATGTAATGAAAAAGACACGTTTTGTCCTTCTGAAACATTCTTATTGTTCTTATCACTACACAATTGACTGTTACTTTAATTATCCGCTGCCGTATCTCTATCAAGAAACTAAAACTGACCATATCTGGAATAGTCTGACCAAAACTCTTTCATAGGACTTAAATTGTTGTATTTACATTGCAGTTTGAGGATAGAATTGTCCTTATTTTAACCCCTGAAAGTTTGGGAAGGTCTCATTACCTATCAACTGCATAGTCCCTAGCAATAAACTCTACATCTAGACTTCTTCAATTTGTATTACTGTAAATGTATTTCTCACTTTGCTTTTTGTGCTTGTAAGTTATAAGAAGCATGAGGTTCTCATATATTTTGTTGTACTATTTCATAAACAAAGTAATAATTAGTATGAGGTATTATGCCTAACACTAAATTATTGGCACAAGTGTTTTGCGGAAGTAGTTCTGTTCAAGGTACTTACCACTTACTGCTGATAGTCTCATGCCCTGCATGTAGTGCAGCAAGCAGCTCAAACCGATGAATAATTTCATTGTTGCAGTAAATAATTTGTTTTAGTTCAGCACTTGTATTTTCTTGCTAGCTTGTGCCATGGATATGCCACTCCTGTGATGTAATTGAGCCATAATGAGATGAATGATTACAATTTTCACCAGGGAGATTTGCCCATCTCAGGCAACTGCTTGACACAGCTTATCCAAGTTCACCAAGACATTGTGAGTTATTAGTTATAGATACCCAATTTCTGTATTGCCTTTGTTTACTGTCCATAATGTCCAGTCTACTACTTATTAAATGGCTTTTCTCATTGTTCTCCTGTTGTCTGGTTTTAGAAATTAAAACCAACTGCAAAGGGAACATGCAAATTAAGAAGAACATATAAATAATTCAGAGGAGCTATTAATACTGATTTTATCTCAAATATGGTCAGCATTCTTACCCAGAGAACATAGTTATTATTTTAGTTTTCTGTCAAATTGGAAAACAATTGTGGCTGAAAAAATTGTATTTTGGATCAACACCGTATATGAAATATTTTGCTAAAGGAATAAGTAGTTTTAATTGACTATGTATTGGAAGCATTGAGGGATCACTAACTCAAGTGTAATACTTCTAAGAAATCTTTATCAAATGGGTCCCATTCTTTTTGTTACTACTTCTTCCAAGATGCACTCGGATCATAATTCTATAGTGAATCTAGCTTAGACATTTGTCTCGAGTGTTTGTACGGTGTGCAGTATGTGAAACTTTTTATTGCAGTGACTGTGTGGATAGTGAGGACAGAACAATTATATATTCTTTATTGAATCAAGTCAACAGCCAATATTGATTTATTACCCTTTTCCTCCCCAGATCACAGAGTACGTACTGTTTCCACAACATGTCCCTCATCCTAGGTTGCTACTGGGAAGCACCACTCAACTGGCATTCACTGTTTTTGAGGGGATCGCGCTGGTGAAGGAGAGGCACCAGGCTTGCACTGACGCGTGTGCGCCCTGCCCCTGCTCTGCCGTTCCCTGCCCCCGCCTGGCGCGGCGGGGCGTTGAGGCGGAGGAGGGGGCCGCCGCGCCACGGGCATACCGCTGCCCGCTGCCCCCCAACTCGAACCAACTCAGTGCGCTGCAGCTTCCACCGGGGATGGTCGAGGCCCTGCACGGACCGCGGCCCCCGTGGCCGAGCGAGGGCGCCCCCGCGCGCTCGCCCTCGCGCTCGCGATCTCGTTGGTGCTGCTGGGGATGGGGGCGCTGCCTCGGGTTCACGCTGGCCGCGGCCACGCTCGGCGGTGCGCTGCCCTCCTCGGCGGGCCCGGGCCCCTACCCTTACCCGGGGGTGTCGGGGGTGGGGCCGGATGTGTTGGCGGGCGGGCGGACTTGCGAGCCGATCCGCGTCGAGCTGTGTCGGTCCGCGGTCCGCGGCTACAACATGACCACCATGCCCAACCTAGTGGGCCACGAGTACCAGAAGGAGGCGGAGGGCCACCTCAGCACGTTCGCACCGCTCGTGCAGTACGGCTGCTCCAAACAGCTGCTCATCTTCCTGTGCGCCGTGCTCGTGCCCATGTGCACGGACCAGGTCGACGCCACAGCACACGGCGAGGCGCACGTCGTGGCCATCGGGCCGTGCCGCGGCCTGTGCGAGGCCGTGCGCGCGCGCTGCCTCCCCGTGCTGCAGAACTTCAGCTACCCCTGGCCGCCGCAGCTGGAGTGCTCCAAGTTCCCGCCGCACAACAGCCCGGCCCACATGTGCATGGAGGGTCCCGGCGAGGACGACGGCGAGGGGGTCAGCCGCTTCATCGTGCCGCTGCCGGGGCACACCGCCGGGCACACGCCGGCACGCGGGACCGGCTGCGCGCGCCCGCCGCACGACGTCTCGAGAGGCGACAAGCAGATGGCCGAGGTGTGGATGTCCATCTGGTCCGGGCTGTGCTTCGTGTCGTCCGTGCTCGCCCTGCTCACCCTCAGGCTGGGGCCGGGGCCGGGGCCCGTGCCGACCGACGCGGGGGCCAGCCGCACGATGCGGTCCTCGGCGGGGCCCTCGCCGCTGGCCAGCCTCGCGCTCAGCTACGGCCTGCTCTCCGTCGGCTGGGGCACGAGGGTCTTGGCGGGCGCGGCGGCGGCGCTCGGACCTCCTGACTGCGATGCCCCGGATCTGAGGAATCCCAACTGCGCCGCCGTCTTCCTGCTCACCTACTACTTCGGAACTGCATCCATCATATGGTGAGCTCTCGACAGGACAGACAGCGCCATCAAAAATTGGTGACGGTGTCACTTTCAATCGCACCACTGCCGCAATTGGAGTTGCCTCCAGGCGGCCAAGCAAAACAGTAACTTAAGTTCAGTTCCCTTTTCTCTGCGCGAGTCTGTGACAGGCAAAAGAAAAGAGGGGCGGGTGGGGAGCAGCATGGTAACAGCGAGTGGAGAGGGCGGGGAAGAGAAACAGGAGGTGGGGGGAGGGGGCAGGAACGCAGCAGTCCAGAGGCTCGCAATGTAAATCTCTGCGGATGGCCGGCTTCAAGCCGTTAACCGCAGCCATGTGCAATCAGGCTGATCTGCGATGGGAGCTCCGTAAATTGGTTCCCCTTGTTTGTTTGGCCGAGGAACTCCGCGACGCCGCAAGGTCTGCCCCTCCCTGCCCTCCGCCCGCGCCCCGCGCCCCGCGCCCCGCGCCCCCCTCGCTCTCGCACGCCACGCCACGCCTCCCTTCTGCGTAAATGCGATGCAGTCAAAGCGTCTCGTTAACACTCGATGAACAGGGACTGCCCGGCCCGGGCCTCGGGCAGCGCGAAGGGCTTTCCAGAGTATGCCGGCCCCGGGCCGCGCGCTGTCGCTCGCGCTGCGGAACAGCCTGCAGTCGCTGTGCTGCAGTCGCATACGGCACCCCCGCCTTTGGGCACGCCGAGCCGCGGGGGGATCCGGCCGTGCGTTTTATTTCCAGAGCCGGGCTTGTTGAACACGGCCGAGGCATTCGAGGCCCGGTGCGGCGGGCCCCTGCGCGGTCACACCTTCTCTTTTAATGCCCTATTAATACCTCCGCCCGCCCAGCCCGCCCCGGCCCTGCTCCCTTTGCATGCGTTCGATCGCCCACTCTTGTAGCCCGAAGCTTGCCCCCCCGCCTCCCCCTCTTCCCGCCTTTCTTGTTTCCACGCCCTCTGTCCTGCCCCCTCTTGTTTTTGTCGTTTTTCAAGACCATTCTTCCTTGCCCTCTTGCTCGCCGTAAGGCGCAAAGCTGGGCAGCCCCGGGAGCCGTCGTCGGCAGCGCGGGCGCGGACCAGCCTCCGCTCCGAGCCGGCCTGGCCGGGCTGCCCGTCCAGGCCATTGTCTCGGACGCGTTTCGTATTTTTGCGAAGAAAGGGGAGGGGAAGGAAGGGCGGGACGACACGGAGCGGCAGTGGCGACTTCGAATGGGCGTATGCAAAACAGAGCGGGGCAGGCGGGGACCTCCGCCGGGACAAGTCGCTAGCCTTTGTGGAAAACCGCCCGAGGGGTGGGCAGTGGGAGAAGCGAAAGGTGGGGAGTAGGAGGAGGAGGAGGAGGAGGGACATATTTGCCATAGCCCGTTTCGCTCCCCATACAATGCCGCCGCCCGGTCTTAATTAGGAACTTTAGACTTTGTTAGCCGCGCGCTGCGAGACCTGCGCGTACATTGCGAATCCCAACAGGTGCCAAATTTAATCGAAGACTGACTCAAGTCGTCCTGTTTGGGGGCGTGCACAAATTACGTCATCGATTTTCGGGGCAAAACCCCCCCCCCTCCCCCTGTCATCGGCTGTCACCTTTTGGCCGACCCCCTCCCCCCCCTAAGCCTATTACGTAATTTGTGCACGCCCCCTTTCGGGGTTCGGATGACGCAGACGCCCACCTGCTGGACACCGGTATTTACTGTGTTGTTAGGCTATCTTTGGTCCAAAAAGTCCTGTATTCAAACCCGCGTAGGGTCCTTTGACCGTCGTCCTCAGTAGAGTCCTAATCCTCGGTGGAACCGCCAAGCTAGTAGGCAAACAGCCGAGACGCAACACAGGCGTGCGCAGCACGTTGCCTACACTGTTAATCGTGGGTGTACAGTCATTGTACGCCAAAGGCGTGTAGCAACTGTACGCCTTTTGGCATGTAATGACTGCACGCCTTTGGCGTACAGTGACAGCACATCTTTGTCAGTGCAAATGCTATAGGCAAAACCCGTGCGTTAGTGCGGGCCAATGGCTGAGGATGCACAGAAACTAAACGCCCTACTCCAGCTTCCGAAGCAGAGTGGGAGTGCCGAAGGCGCTTTGGCTTTACGCACCACCAGAAAACGCATGGGCATTTCCACTAAGAAAGATGTGCTGTCACTGTACGCCAAAGGCGTGCAGTCATTACATGCCAAAAGGCGTACAGTTTTGGGTGCTACACGCCTTTGGCGTACAATGACTGTACACCCCCAATTAACAGTGTACCCACTGACCGCAAGGCGCCCGCCTTCTGGCTAGGCAACCAACCGAGTTGGGAAGCAGGCGTGTGCAGCGCGTTGCCTACCCACTGAATGCAAGGCGCCCGCCTTCTTGTTAGGCAACCGAGGCGCGATGCTGGTTTGCGGAACTCGTTGCCTACTGAAGATGGTACCGCATGTTATTCCTCAGCGGTGGGCTGTATTCTAATCCTTATCCCGCGAGTCGGTCGGTCTGTGCGAGTAAAATAGCGTGAATATGAATTGCACACATCCGTCTATTATACACCAACCGACTCGAAATGAGAATTGGGAAGTTATATTCAGTTTAACCACGCTCACGAGAGCGTGAGGGCGTGGATTTAGGGTGAGGGGGGAAGGGAGAGGCGGGAGAGCGCGACTCTGCGAAGTCGGACCCTTCTCCCCTTCTCCCCTCTCTGCTCCCTGCCCCTCGTCCTAAATCCACGCACTCGTGAGCGTGGCTAAACCGAATGTAGCTGGAAACAACCTGCTGAGGGTTGTTGTTTATCCCTAGGTTTGCCTCTTTTCCTCATCGATAGGGCGCGTAAACCTGAGGGTGTCAGATCAGAATTATTCAAACATCACCATCCTAACAGTAGCAAAACTTGTAGAAATCTTGTTCTACTCGTGCAACAGAGAGACTTATTTCCATTGTTGGACAGTCGGATCACGCAATATACACAACTGCAAATGGAGAATATTTTTTGTCAAGTTAGATAAAGAAATGTTCGTGCCCATAAAATAACGAGCAATATACTTTCATACCGGGCTTATCGGAACGCCTTGGTCATGCAGATTTGCGTATAGAGAGAGTATGCAAACCCGCAACACTGACAAGGGAACCCCGCCAAGTGTAAATTCCCGATTTTCATTCTACTTTGGGAAATTGTTGGTCTAAAAGTGTCATCGAAGCACACATCATTTTTTTTTTTTTTTTGCTCAAATTCATATTTAGGGGATATTTTGGGCATTCGTTCCAAAGGCTGCTATTTCAACAATTTTTTGTAATTTTCAAAAGTGCTTCCTAAGGGTTAACTCGATAGATTGCGGTCCTTTCGACAAAAATTTCGTCTGTTTTGCTCTATCTGAAGCCGTTTAGGCGCTACCGCCACGTTTAGGAGGGGAAATGTACGGGAATCACTAGGGCTTAAGAGCAGCGGTTGTAAAAAGCAGTCCCACAAAAAATGTCACAAAACAAAAGTTGAAGAAAAATGTAAGCTCTTTTACTTTTGTTTTATGACATTTTTTGTGGGACTGCTTTTTACAACCGCTGCTCTTAAGCCCAAAGTAGGATGAAAATTGGGAATTTGCACTTGGCGGGGTTCCCTTGTGAGGCATGTTCTTGTAAACAACCATTACGTGTTCGATACTGTCGCTACCCGAAGCCCCCCCCCCCCAACCCATGTGGAGTGTAGTTACAGGGTACGAATAAGCATTACATTTCATCAGAGACAATTATTAATCATTTATTAACCATTCCAGAAACCTTACGTACAATGCAAAACTTAGCCATGTCTGACAGAACAAAGCTAAGAGTTGGGGGCATACAACATCAAGCACAAATGCATCACATGTGGATCCACGTACACGCCACATTAGTATCGCGGTCGTAGGACCTTTTCCAGTGTGTGTCATCAGTGTGGTCCTCCGGAGAGGGACACTTGTCAGGGTCATGCGAGTAGAGGCCTATCTTTCTCACCTCATCCCACTTTACCTCTTGATGGCAGCCTTGCACGCATGTCTCGCAATCCTCGGGATCGCACTCGTTGGGGCACCAGAGCTGGATATGAAGCGAGGGATTCTCCGCGAGCGTCGATTTAACCGCGTCGCCGTGTATCCAGGCATGGGGGCATAATGTCTCTCCAGCAATCTCCAGGAGCGTCAGGGCCGGGGCCGTGACGGGTGTGATGCCCTTGAGCAGCTTGTCGCCGAGGTCTTCGTCCACGTCCAGGTGGCGCAGAGCTGGCAGCGAGGGCAGCACGCGAAGCAACGGCCGCACGACCTCAACCTCAAACCCTACAAGCGCCAGCCGCTCCAAGCGGGAGCCCAGAGCCTCGACCAACGCCATGCAGTACTCGGGGGTGTCCTCTCCCGTACAGTTCTCCAGGCAGACACGTTGCAGTTGGCTAGCTCGGCGGAGGAACTTCACAACCCTCTCAAGTCGATCTACGTCGTCATAAAGAGTTATACAAACTTCTCTAAGCATCTTGCACGATGCTACGGACTGTAACCCCCTCACCGAGTCGTCGCACTCCAGACTGCGGAGTCTTGGCAAGGCAGCCAACAGGGTAGCTGTCGTCCCCTCGGGGCTAGAGCATGTAAGGAGGTCAACCTCCTCTAGGGTAGCGGCGTGCCCGGCCAGAATGGCGTGCACGAAGCTTGCAGAGTTCTTGTCGAGCGGACAACGGAACTTAATGAGCGAGGGCTTGGGCGGCCCGTGCACAACGGGGTGGCTGATGCCCGGTAGGGAGCTGATGACGTCGAGCGACTCCAGGTGGCAACACGATGCAACCGTCCTCACCAGCACGTCGGCAAGCCGCAAATTATAGGTGGCAAGCTCAAGTCGCCTGAGACGCCCGAGGGACTCCTGGTTGCGCACAGCCAAGGCCAAGGGGTACTCTGTCCCCCTACAATTGGAGAGCAGATCCAACCCTGCTACGGCGCACCGGGTTGTGGTCACCGCTAGGGTTGGGACTTCGCCCGTGATGACCAGCGTGTTGAGGCACGGGGCCAGGTGCAGCACCGCGCCCGCGCAGGGGTGGTGGTCGTGGAGCGTTCGGTGCCGCCACACGTCGGGGTGCAGGGCCAGGCCGCAGAACCTCTTGCACACGAGGCGGCAGGCGAGGACGTCCTCCACGTCCAGAAACTGCATCACCATCACGAGCACGTCGTCCAGCAGCTGCTCCAGGGTCATCAAAGCCGTTCCCACGGGGTCCATGACAGAGCGTAAACTGCGGCCTGGAAAGCTTAGGTTAGTGCGGAATTTCAAAACACGGACCACCAAGCCTATCGGAGCCTTTAGTATGCGCTGTCGACTGGCCTTACCGTGTCGGCGAATGTAGTTGATGAGCTGACGCGTTCGTGATATGTAGCTGATAACCTGGCTAGACTAGAGCTAGAACCGAACGCACACTGCGACAACGAACGAGACGAGGACCAGCGGACCAGCCAGGACCCGAGCGAGTCAAGTTGACCGAGCCGAGCGCGGAGTGCGCCCGGCGCCCGAGCACGCCGGGGGTTTGACCAATGAAATCCCCCGGGGTATTCCAAAAGCGCCCGACATATAGTCGTCCGAGATTTCCGGGGAACTCCGGCCTGTCTATAGGTGTCTTGTCACCTTATGTTTGCATGAAGTTTGTAATTATGCTTTGGGATCGTGCATTACATCGGATTTTATCGCTCGTCGAGGACCAGCAGCCAGGACAACGCTCTCGGGGTGTGCCCCTCTAGCGAGGGACGGGACAAAACCCCAGCGCCGGGGCTGTCCTCGTGGTCCGCTTCGAGTAGCTTTGCCTTCTGGAAGAGACAGTATTATAAATGCGTATAAATTGCGCCTATCGCATCAATAATGGGAATCGCAAAACGGCAAGATACTATTACAACTCCACTGTCAGTGCACTCATGGAATGTTTCTCATGGGGTGGATGCGAGCAGGTGGGCCGAGCACGTTGCCTACCCACTGGACGCAAGGAGCCCGCCTTGTAGGTAGGCAACCTACCGAGGAGGGATGCAGGTGTATGGAGAACGTTGCCTACCCACTCACCGCACGGCGCCCGCCTCCACGTCGCCTATGGCACGGTTGCCTACCTCAGCAGCCACAAGGCGCCGATAGCTTGCTGCAGGGTGACTCAGCCGAGCGGGTCCCGGCCGGGTCCCTCCGCTCTGCATTCCGACTGCGGATGCCTGCCGCCTGCCCTCCTGCGGCCGTGGTTTTGAATTTGCGAGGATCGTTAAGACCGAGACCGCCGGTCGGGCCGGCCGGGCCGACCGCATCGCCCCCGCCGGCGAGCAAGCAGTAAACCGATGCTATTTCGGTTTCAAACCAAACTAAAGAAGAATACGGGTATATGGAGATCCGGGCGGCTGGCAGGGGGAAAACACTGCGTGACAGCAGGGGGTGGGAGGTGGGGCCGCGGCGGCCAACGGCGGCCGCTCCTAGACGGCTGGTTTACATTTTCTGCTCCGAGCGCGTGATTAGTAGGGTGCTTGAAAAATCTGTGAATTATGGTATCTTGAGTGAGCCAGCGCATCACACCGGCATACATCGCACCGCGGTGAGAGGAGGGGGTGGGGGGGTATGGTATTATGTGCATGCGCAAGCTTCAGCAGTTTAAATGTACCAAAAGCCTGAAGCATTCCGGTGAAGCTGTAAGAAAAGTAATGGGAAGAGGAATGCACTGGAAACGCAAGTGTGTGAATGTCAAACACTTGTAGGCGTGTGACCCAGTCGTACACCTACAAGTGTGCGACATTCACACACTTGCGTTATCAGTGTACATCGGATGTCGAGCGCGAGCGGTTAGGGGGTGCTAAACAACCTTCACTGAGTAAAAAATCCTTCCCCTAATGTTGCAGGGGGAATGGATGATTAAGAGTGCATTTAACTAAAATATTGTCGCGTATTCGATCGTACTTGTGTACCAACTCATCAACTTATGACTTCCGCTCTCTTTTGCCCCGCACTCTTTATCTTATTGTCAGATTTGCCAGAATGGTTAATTTCGAACGATATGAACCTCCATCCAATAAAATGATCAAATATTACTAAAAGTAACAGAAATTGATTGAAAATCACTGAAACGTGATTAAAAACGTCTGAAACATGATTAGAAATGCCTAAAAATGACTGGAAGTTTCATTGTTGTACAGTGTGAGTGAGGGACCCCCTCTCGGGTGACACACGCAAAGGCACCCGCACCAGGAGCAGTCGTCTGCTTCGCGTCCAGCAGGGCCAGGCCTCGCGCTGAGAGGCAAAGCAGCAGGGATCGGCGTGACCGGCTGCAGCGTGGCATGGAGTGGCGAGGATCCCGAGACCGTACCCAAGCCGGTCTTGTTCGTTTTCCTGCATAAAATAAGCAAAGCAACAAGCTCCCCTGGCCGGGCGGGTATCGGGCCTCCAGACCACTGTGCGCTGGAGGGAGCAGGACAGCTCTTGCCCCCCCCCCTTCTTCTCTCTCGCCAGCTTCATCGAGCACGAGCAGGCAGTGCCGGTGGTGCCGGCAGGGCCAGTCGGCAGGCCAGGCCCAGGCTGGGCAGCCTGGCACGCCGCGGCGGACAGCCCAGCTTCTCTTATTGTCATCGTAACAAGTGGGCGTGAGCAGCTTTTGCATTGCCAATGGAAATGCACCGCGCTGCCGTGCAGGCCGGTCTCACCGGGACGGGCTCGCCCTTCGCCTGCACCGCGACGGCGCACTGCTGCTGCTGCACCTTGTGCTGCACCTTGCTGGGCCCTCACCCTCTTCATGTCGTTGTTGCAGGTGGGTGGTGCTGACCGCCCTCTGGTTCCTCTTGGCCGGGCTGCGGGTGTCGCCGAGCGCGCTGCAGCGACGCTCGTACCTCTTCCACCTGGCCGGCTGGGGCGTGCCCGCCGCCCTCACCCTCGCCGTCCTCGTGCTGAGAGACGTCGCTGCGGACCCCCTCACAGGTCAGTATCGCGCACCTCTCTGGAGTCCGCCCGAACCCTCAATCTTGCCGTTCCGATTAGGTTCGAATGAGTAGGAATGAAGAAAAGACGTATTCGGAACGGGAAGATTGAGAATTCGGACGGACCCTTGCTCCACTGCCACCGCACCGCGGGCAAGTCGGGATAATGGATGCCATCATGGGCGCAGGAAGGGAAAGAGGCCACGCCGTTTCAACTCTACAGCCCCCAACCTAACCCGCCAGGCTGCCTCCTGCACTATTCTTCCCCCCCCCCTTTTTT